AATGCTCTGACTCATCATGATTTATGATAGTTCAGTAAGGCTGAGGGCCTATAAAATGGGCTACATGCCCACACGGCTGTATGCTTCTGACGATCTCAAACGGTCAGTGGGCACACAGCCACATCCCTATGAAAGACTATGACTGACTGCAGGTTCATGCAGTTGAAGATGACATGGTGTCCACCCCAATTGGACCAGCTCATTCTCATTTTCTATGACTCTGTCCTGATACTGAACCGAGGTCTTATCTTGTCTATAAAGTTCTAGATAGCGGTTACAGTCGAAACTACATCATCCAGAACTGCAGTATCCAATACAGTGGTCATTAGACCCATGTGGCTATCTAATTTTAAAATAAGTTGAAACTAAAAATTCAATTCCTCAGGGCACTGGCCACATGTCCAGGGCTCAACAGCCACATTCATGCATCTGGCTACTGTATCGGGCAACACAGGTTACAGGACGTTTCCATCATTGCAGAAAATTCTCTGGGACAGCACTGGGTTATTCTAGAACCTGATATTAAAAAGTGGCCCTTTGAATTTTGCAAGAGACAAATTCCAGGAGTTTTCCAATACCACTAGAGCATACAAGTTCCTCCAAATAAAGCAGGGAGGTGTAACTATACCATTTAAGCAACCCCTTCAGGCCCTACAAGTACACAGAGATGGCATGAGTGGGCTGCCTGGCAACTGCTTAGGTTCACTTGCCATGTTCATTTGAGACCAGGGGCTCAGCAAACTCACAGACTGTGGTGACAGGGTTTGAGAGTCTCTCATGAATTCCTGAATCTGAACCTTCAAGTTCCACATGTGTCATTTCCCTCGGATGTTGTTCTCCGGTTTCTCTCAGTACTTCCTATCTCCCTCATGCTGCTGACTGCAGGAGGGCTCGGTGTCTCCCCTCACTTTCTTGCTCACCGTTAAGTACTCATCAGAGACTGCCTTTTTGACAAAAAGACAAATTAGACACGCAATGGCTTTCAGACTGAGGGTGTGGAGGGGGGCCTGATCCAAAATGTAGTTGGCACATATTAGCAGAGACAAGTTTAGTCATGAACTCAGCCAGAAAACTTTATAAAGTTCAACAAATAAATCATGAGAACCTAAAAATACCAGGTTGGCCAAAAGTTAGTTTGGGTTTTTCTGAATTATCTTACAGAAAAACTATAGTGAATTTTTTGGCCAACCCAATAAATGAAGGCACTATTTTGACTGATATCTGAAAACTCTCTAATGTCTAATAGTAATTGCTTGGAAAAGCAGCCAAACCAATGGATACTGTCCATAATCATTGTATCAGTGAATGGCAATCCCATCTTTTCTAACTTTTAGAAAGTTATTTCTTACAAAATTTAAGAATTAAAATATTCAAACTTTACTTAAAGCCTTTCTCTCAAGCTGGAACTACTGGAAAATGGAAAGTGAATTGTAATACTGAGAACCTTCCAAAAATTGGAACACTTTAAATCTCTGAATTGGTGATGTTAGCTATCTGTGTTTAGACCATTATTACAGACTTAAGGGGAAAGGCTCTTTGGAAGGGAAAATTGAGGCATAAATGTCTGCAAGGGGAAATAAAACAAAAATCAGTCAATGAAAAAGGGTAGCTCCCATATTCTAACTAATTTTTCAATTTAGAACCAAAAGGCTCTATGAAAGCATAAAGGGATTATGAAGACATAGAGGATTTAATGTGGTCTCTTTAGGACTTAATCATTACAGAATCAATTATCCTGTTTCTTCATCGTGTCCCCAGTGTAAGCTTGTACTCACTGGGCTTGCCTTTAAGATGTTTGAGGGGAATCATTGCTCATCCTTACTCAAGGGCTATAAGGTCTTTCCTCTTCTGTGTCCCACTCACTACAGAGGTGGTTTGGCCCAACAATGAACTGTGCCTAGCTTCTGATTTCCTTTATCTTGTTATAATAGAGCTTATAAAAATAAAGAGGAATGCATTTATCTTGAATGGTTTTGTTAACTAACACCAGAAGTATGACACAAACGGACGTAAATCTTTGGAACAAAGTAATTGAAAATAATCTTCGTTCATGAGATGAAATCTAGTGGGATATGTAGGAAGATGGTCAAAGACGTTGAATTGCTATTACATTCTCTCACACTTCTAGATATACAAGCACATTGCTATCTGAAACAATTTTTGTGGGTAAATAATATATTGTGCTTATGCATAGTATACATGCATGATATATTGTGCTTATGTAAGGTACACATACATGTATATATACATGTATAATGTATACCTTACACAAGTACAATATACCATTTACCAACAAAAATTATTACCTCCAAAAATTATGTATACTATACATAAGCACAATATATTAATTACAGACAGAAATTCTTCCAGATAGCAACAGGCTTGTATACACAGTAAAGTTTGCTGGGAGAAATATCAACAACCTCAGATAAGCAGATGATACCACCCTAATGACAGAAAGCAAGGAGGAACTAAAGAGACTCTTGAAAGAGGAGAGTGAAAAGCTAGCTTAAAACTCAACATTCAAAAAACTAAGAACATGGCATCCAGTCCCATCACTTCATGGCAAATAGAAGGGGAAATGTGGAAGCAGGGACAGATTTTATTTTTTTAGGCTCCAAAATCACTGCAGATTATGTCTGCTGCCATGAAATTAAAAGATGCTTGCTCCTTAAAAGGAAAGCTATGACATACCTAGACAGAATATTAAAAACTAGAGACATCATTTTGCTGACAAAGGTTCATATAGTCAAAGCTATGGTTTTTCCAGTAGTCAGGTGCAGATGTGAGAGTTGGACCCTAAAGGTTGAGGGCTGAAGAACTGATGCTTTCAAACTGCGGTGCTGGAGAAGACTCTTGGCAGTCTCCTGGACAGCAAGGAGATCAAACCAATCAATCCTAAAGGAAATCAACTCTGAATATTCATTAGAAGGACGGCTGCTGAAGCTGAAGCCCCAATACTTTATCCACCTGATGCAAAGAGCCGATTCATTAGAAAAGACCCCAATGCTGGGAAAGACTGAGGGCAGGAGGAGAAGTGGACAACAGAGGATGAGATGGTTGGATGGCATCACTGACTCAATGGACATGAGTTTAAGCCAACTCCAGGAGACAGTGAAGGACAGGAAGCCCATTATGCTGCAGTCCATGGGGTCACAAAGAGTTGGACACAACTTAGTGATTCAACAACAACAAACACTTTACAGTAATATAATGTATGTGTGCATGCTCAGCCTAAGTCATGTTGGACTCTTTGCAACCCCATGGACTGCAGCCCACCAGGCTCCTCTGTACATGGGATTTCTGAGGCAAGAATACTGGAATGGGTTTCCATTTCCCCCTCCAGGGGATCTTCCCGGCCCAGGGATTGAACCCGCGTCTCTTGTGTCTCCTGCATTGGCAGGCAGATTCTTTACCACAAAGCCACATGGGAAGCCCCTATATAATGCATAATATATGATAATTATTATGTACATATATACCTTATACATCAAAAGAGAATGCTATGATGTTCAATTGAAAAACAAGTATACATTTATAAGCAGCATTTATAATTTCTGAATTCATATCATTAAAAATAAATAATTATTATGTTTGCAATGAGAATAGATAAGACTTTTCTAAACCAACTAATAAATTCTTGGCTTAAAAAAAACTCTTCTAAACTCCAATATTAAACAGATTCTTTCAGCCACACAATATTATGATTAATACTCCAGCATGACTTGTTTCCTTAACAAATATTTATCGATCATTCACTATGTCCCAAACACTGTCAACAAACTGATGAATTAAACCTTCCTTTATAATCCTGTTGTCAAAATAAATCACTTATTTGTGTAAGTCAGATGTTTTATCTTGATTTATATTACTTATATGTGAATAAATTAAAAGTTGTTTTCATTTCACAAATCTTGCATTTTGAAAGAGGGATCCAGGCTCAGACAAGACAGTCAAGGCAAAATATCTAATTTCAACTAAGAAATTTTACTCACTTAAAAACAGTGCAGAAAGGAGACCCTAATTCATGATGTTTCTAGTCAATCTCTCCTGGTTAGGAAATTCAATCTTTAGCCAGAAAAAAGATACACACACACACACACACACACACACACACACACATACGCATGCACACACAAGAAGATTGTGGTAAATAATTACATTTCTTTTAAAGATCCTTAATTTTAAAATTCCTTCTAGCTTGTAATTGTTGCCCATGCCTGAAATGCTCCACCTGGTCTATGTTCCTTTTTCTCCTCTGGGTCTCAGTTCAAGGTCACCTCCCCTGCCAGGCCTCTGTGACAATCCTAATTCTGTTGCCTCCTTACCCTTCTCGCCCCCAACCCCAGATACTACCCACTATGCTGTCTGTTTCATCATATAATTTGTCTTAATTAACAATTACACAGTGTTTACTTGTTTCTATGTATACCATCCCCACATGAGAGAGGCTCTGTGTCTATTTATACACTAATATATGCTTAGCATCTAATACAGAGGCTGGCAGAGGGCAGTGCTTAAGTGAAACTGTGGGATGAATGAATTAATTCATCCCCCTTAGAGGTACCAGCTTATCCCTTTTTCATGACACTTACAGACTAAAGTGCTAAGAAGTGACTTTTGCTATACATATTCTTAATAATGTGTGATTTGTGCACACCGTTAAGTCCACTTCTATAGGAAGAGGGAAGGGTAGACTTCCTAAAACTACCTTTTCACTCCCCTAGGGTTTTCAAGATCAGGGAAGTGACTTTCAAGATCAGCTCCACGGTTATACAAATCACGAATCAAAGTCCAGGTATAGCACAAGTTCTGCTTTCAAGAGAAGTCCTGACTCAAGGGAGACTCTGTTGCAAAACAAACCACTTCCTTAACCCCTCTATCCAAAATCTGAAAAGGTTCATACACTCTTTGTCCACTGAGGAGACTCTGTAAATAGCACTCTAACATTTCATCATATGAACGCCATAGGAGCCAAAAGGCTTGGGGGAACGTCTTACCTGGAGTCCTTTCTGACTCTTGCTTTCTCAAAGGAGAATTCGGGGGGTTTGTTGAGGTCATAGGTTCGGGTGGTCGGCTCGGCGGACACTCCAGCCTTCGCTCCCCTCCTGCTGTGGAGGGAGACCAATCCCGAGGTCTTCCGCTGAACCTCAAGAGGCACTTTGTCCGGGGACGCCCGGGGCAGGCTTCCTCCCTGCAGGTGCACCACATCCTGAAGCTTGTTCAACTGGATGCACTTGTTCTGCAGCTCCTCGGTCAGCTCCGCGATGGCCACAGTCTGTTTGGACAGCTGCTCCCGCAGCTCCTTCAGGTGGTACTCCCGCTCCTGGATCTCAGCATCCTTCCTCCTCAGCTCTCTTTCCAGCTCTGTCACCCTGCTCCGGAGGGCACTGGCGGTGAGGTTCCCAGGGTGCCCATCTGGATTCTTAGAGTGTTTGGGTTTCACCGAACCATTTCCCATTTTGCTCAAGGACCTGAGAGAGGGCACAGAATCGGAGGTTACCTCGTGCAGTTTCCGGCTTCCCAGGTGGCGCTAGTGGTAAAGAACCCGCCTGCCAATGCAGGAAATGTTAAGAGATAAGGGTTTGATCCCTAGGTAGGGAAGATCTCCTGGAGGACAGCATGGCAACCCACTCCAGAATTCTTGTCTGGAGACAGAGGAGCCTGGCAGGTTATGGTCCACAGGGTCACAAAGAGTCAGACACGACTGAAGCAACTTAGCACACACGCATGCCGTGAAGTTTCACTTTCCAGCGCCCCCACTGCTCCTCTCGTTCTACTCTGTTTCATAAACGGAAACACAGCACTCATGGCTATTCAGGTAAGCAATAAATTCCCGACCCTTCCAGAAGGAAAGCCATGGATTGATTTCATGGGTTCCTCCATGAGGAGGGGCTGGCGCTTGGGTTCCTTCTCTCCCATCCCATTGCTGGCAAAAGCATCACACCTAAGCATTTTGCACACACCGCCTGCGTTACCTGCTCTTCTCTTCGGTTGTTCTCTCCGGACATCTGTCAAAAGCATCAGGACAGAACCGCCATTCAGATGTCAGCATGGCCAAGCCAGAAAGCCAAGGAGCAACTTCGGCAGCAGAGGCTTGTTAATGTCACAGTGCTCCCAGCTCCCTGAGCAGCTCCACTGAGAAAGCTTCCCCTGATTTAGAAAACAACACATCTGCATTCCTCGGGGTGGGAGGAGGCAGAGCTGGGGTTGCCTTATTAGCACGTTCCTCCAGCCCTAGGTGCCTATTAAGTTTGGCTTTTCTGTCTTTTTCTTTTTATTTTTTAAAATTTATTTTAATTTAAGGCTAATTACTTTACCGTATTGTGGTGGTTTTTGCCATACATTCACATGAATCAGCCATGGGTGTACATGTGTTCCCCATCCCGATCCCCCCTCCCACCTCCCTCCCCATCCCATCCCTCAGGGTCATCCCAGTGCACCAGCCCTGAGCGCCCTGTCTCATGCATCGAACCTAAGTTTGGCTTTTCTGACAATGCTTGCCTTTACAAACATGTGGATGGCAGTTCATGCATGAGTGCCTGCATGCTAAGTCGCTTCAGTCAGGTCCGACTCTTTACAACCCCATGGACTATAGTCCGCCAGCTTCCTCTGGAAGGTCCAGAGGATTCTCCAGGCAGGAATATTGGAGTGGGTTGCCATGCCCTCATCCAGGCGATCTTCCTTACCCAGGGATCAAACCTGTGTCTCTCACATCTCCTCGATTAGCAGGTGGGCTCTTTACCACTAAGGCCACCCAGGAAGCTGCCGGATGGCAGTTACCAGTAGTTAAAAACAAGGATGGGGATTCTTTGATATTCTTTACTTTATATCCCAAAACCAAGATTGTCCCAAAAAATGACAACCTATAGTCCAATGCTCTATTATTTTCCTGAAAAGAATATCCTCAGTGTAGGCCCCAAAGCAGTCAGTTACTCCTCCAGTAAGTCTCAGGAGGTAAAATGCAGATTGGGGAATGTGAGGCAAGATTTTAGTTAATTCAAAAACGTTTCTTTTTGGTTCAATAGCTATGTATTTGTTTCAACATTCAATACAAATTATAAATAATTGGCACCAGAAAAATTTGAGGGTTAGTTAGGTATTTAGCTTTTCTGAGTCAATTCAATGAAAACAGAAAAGAAATCATCTGCGGTTAATAAACACACATGAGCAAAATCAAAAAAGAGAACTCAAAAGACTGAAGACTGGAAAATACTGCTTTGATTAAGTATCATAAGGTTTAAGTCTTTTTAGGCTAGCTATTGAAATTCCGTACTTTTGTGTGTGTGATTTTTGACAGCCATCACCCAAGAAACTTGTAAACTAAATTTGAATGATGCTCATTATCTAATATATGAAGAGAATGATGGAACTTTGAAGTTATAAATCCCACATATTCTTTCCTCACTCTCTCTCTCTCCAAGTTTCAAGCTCAGAGAGAAATGAAATGCTTAGACTGATTTCACTGGCTCTACCAGAATCATCGTGACCTCTAAAACGAAGACAACAAAGACAAAGACACACACAGCCTCTGAGTTTCAAACAGATGCATCCCAGTAGCTAAGGCAGGTCACCTAAGATAGATGGTAGAAACAGAAAATAAATATACTTATAAAAGCAATCTTGCAATACCCAGACTTTCTTCATAGAACTCAGGTTCAAAGTAGGCATTAATAAACATCAGCCTCCAGAGAATTGCCTTAATATGTTGCAGAGATGTGGCAGGTTTAACCTTTAAGCTTTTGTTGACTTTGCAGCATTTACTGTTCTTATATATTAGGAATATATAAAAAGGTTAAGGAGACTAGAATTCAAAGATGTGGCCCTGGACACCAAGGTAACCTGAATAAGCAATTAAGAAGACGTTAGATTGGGACTTGAGAATAAACTTGAATGAGATTCTGAATGACAAGCCTAAGAAAGGTGCCCCCAAAGGGACCTTAAATTAATGTGAGCACAAGTTTTTAACATGCAGCAGTGAAATATTTTCTAGACGTGCTTTTCTGGTTCATGGACAAGCATTTCTAATCCAAGGCAGGATAAAGGGAGAAGAATGGGTGGGGGGAAAGAAATCGTCATATAAAGAACAAAACTAAGCAAAAAAACTTTTAAATCTAATATTAAACTAAACTAACAACTCATTCTTTATTTATAGAAACAATTGCTTCTTAAGACCTAACTAAGTGTCATGTACTATACCAGGGGCACAGTTCCATGAATTGGAAGACAAATTCGACACAAGAGGAGATTCCTAGCATTCTAAATATGAAAAGGCTTAGAGGATCATTTTTGCTCTAGGTATGGTAGTCAAAACATTCTTGACCAATTGAATAATTTTGCAAACTCGAACCACAATTAGGTAAAGGCGGTTAAATCCTCCCCAAACACCAGCTATTCTCTGATTTTTGTTTGCTTGTTTTTAAACTTTTAATTTTGTATTGGGGTGTGGTGGATTAACAAACAATGTTGTAATAGTTTCAAGTGAACAGCAAAGGGACTCAGCCGTACATATATTAATACATGTATCCATCCTCCCCAGCTCCCCTCTCATCCAGACTGCCACATAACACTAAGCAGAGATCCATATACTATACAGTAGGTCCTTGTTGGTTATCCACTTTAAATATCCAGCTATTCTGTGGTTTTAAAGACATCAGTTTGCAAACTGAATAAATCTTTGAAACAGTTTAGAATTCCAAAGAGGGATGAAATGAAGTTAAATAACTAACCCATCTTCCAGGTCACTAGTTTAAGCTATGTAAGGAAGCTACCAAAGGGCTCAATAAATACTAAGTCTGATTTCTTAGTTCACCTAGTTCAATGTTGGTGTCTCTCAAGCCAAAGCTTCGAGTGTCTGGCTTCATAAAACCTAATTAGACTCACTTTGTTTCCTGTCTGTATCAGTCATTAAGAGAGAAAAGCCATTTCGCAAGTATGTATTACTAGTCACAACTGAACCACAGGATGTTGTGCTATCTATCTAGCAACTATAGGTTCTTAGATCATTCTTATAATCAGAGAACAGCGTGTAAAGTAAGAAGAAATGACCTTGGAGATAAAGATCAGGAATTTTTTCCTTCCGGCTTTATTGAAATACAATTGACATACAGCATTGTATAAATGTAAGGTTTACAGCATAATGATTTGATTTATACATATCACAAAATGATTACCACTATAATTTTAATGAACATCCATCATCTCACACAGATACAAAATTAAAGAAATAGAAAAAAATTTCCTTGTGATGAGAACTCTTGGGATCTCTTAACAGCTTTTCATATATAACACAGCAGTGTTAATTATATTTATCATATTGTATATGACACCCCTAATACTTAATTATCTTACAACTGGATGTCTGTACCTTTTGACTGCCTGCATCCTACCCCCTCCCCACCTCTGGTAACCACAAATTTGATCTCTTTCTCTATGAGTTTGTTTGTTTGTTTTCAAAATGTAAGAAATAATCAAAGAGACAAAGATCAGGACCTAACATAAGCAATGGAATCAAGCCAGCCTAGGGTAAGAAAACAACATGCCTTTTCCCAGCTGTGTAACCTTCTATAAATTACTTCAATTTCTCAATTTTCTAATCTAGAAAGTGGATATATTCATCTCATAGATTTATTATGAAGATTATGCTTGTAAGGTATCCTGTGCATTATCTGGCGTGTGGTGGTTTAGTCGCTAAGTCATGTCAGATTCTTGCAACCCCATGAACTGGAGCCTGCCAGTCTCCTCTGTTCATGGGATTCTCAAGGCAAGAATAACGGAGTGGGTTGCCATTTCCTTCTCCAGGGGATCTTCCTCACCCAGGAATCGAACCCGCATCTCCAGAATTGCAGGCTGATTCTTTACCGACTGAGCTATGAGGGAAGGGCTCCCTGGTGTGTAGCAGGCACCATGTAGCTTTCATAGGATGTGACTAGCAAGGCACTTGGTGACTCGGTGTGAGGAAATGTCCAGAGGGCATCATTACTGAATGGGAAAGAACTCTAGTAGACTGGATGTCTTCCAGACAAGAGGGCTTTAAAGAGGAAGATTATTGGGGTGAGAGAGAGGGGTGTGCTTACTCTGTCTGGATTAAGGGAAAAAGTCATTCTGGAACAAACATCCTGAGATACCCTCCCAGTGAAGAGAAGCCCCGCAAAAAGATGGAGAACAGAAAGCTTCATGATGAACGTCCCAGCCCAGGTTCGAGGGCTGCAGGGGCTCCTCTGCAATTCCTTCATGTAGCCTCTATCTATTTACACAGGCTGCACTGAAAACCTTAAACCAAAAGGGCCCACCTAAATATCTTTGTAGGCAACAACAGCAATAAGAAAACGTAGTTCACTTTGAAGGAGATGTTCTTCTGCAGCCAGGGACAGGAATGAAGAATATAATGAGCAGTGGCATTTAGGAAAAGAGAGTAAAACTATATAAAGTTATAAATTATTATTACGTTAATTTAATCGT